TTACAAACAACAATATACCGTAGAGTGACGAACATAACAGATATATATATATATATATATATATATATATATATATACACACACACACACACACACATATATACTAGCAAAAGTACCCGGCTTATAATTTGTAATATAAGGAACCATTTCTTTTCTATTTGGGTTTTGGCATAAAAAGATGTGCACGAGCATGCGAACATACATGTAGATAAGTAATAATACCCAGGTGCAAACCCTCAGGGTCCACTTAGTATGGGTGTAAAATTTCTGGTTCCTTGGTTCTTTCTTCTTGGAGCTATGGCAGTCACACATGTCTGTGATTTATATTTCTAATATAAAGAACCACTTCTTTTCTATGTGGTTTTATGCTAGCTTGCCTCATTAAAAAGATGTGCACACGTTCACACATCTAGATAAGCAATAACACCCAGGTGCAAACCCTTAGGGTCCACATGTCCTTTTATTATTATACATATAAAACCAGGTTCACTGAAATATGTCAAAATAAATGAAACTTGCATACAACATATACATATCCAAACCTGTAAGGGAGTTATGGGACAAAGCTATATCAAGTGCATGACTTGGTTTAAACCTAGAAGAGAAACATATCACTAAGTTTTATAAATCAACATGAGCTGGTTTAAATACAGATGACAGATTTATGATCAAGTTCTACCAACCATTACAACCTGATTCACTTCTGAACCCACATCATCCAGCTCAATAAAACAGAGCAACTTAGTTCCCACACTAGATCTTCTAATTGTACATGACTCAATTGTACTTTAACATTAATTAATATCTCCAAGAAGTTATTTCTGAAATCTGCTGCTAGGACTAACATGATGAACTGACTTATAACTTAAAAACTCTGCTGAATCAATAAATCAATGGCAGATACCTTAATGTAGTACTGGTGTCTAAAGAAAAACTTTTAAATATAATTTATCTCACTCAAATAGCAGAAGTAGATTCATAACTTTATTCAGGCTTTCTACCATAGTCCCACAAAAAGGAGGGATAAAAACCTTAAAAAAAATGGAATGTGGTATGGGTTTTCAGACAAAAAAAAGAAGGAGAAATTAGGGACCCAAGCTGACACAAAAGAATAAACTTTATTGTAAGCAGATACCAAAAAGTCAGAAATCTCAAGCTTGTTCCATCATATTTTTTAGTTTGAATTATAACTTAAACAATTCTATATACATAAAATTAAAGGATAGAGAGAATATGTCACAATTTTCTAGTTGTTTCATACTACCTGTCACACCAAACATGCTCGCCCTTTCAGCCGTGTGGCCATTATAATGTGACGGTCAATCCCACTATTCATTGATAAAAGAGTAGCCCCAAAGTTGGCGGTGGGTGGTGATGATTAGCTGCCTTCCCTCTAGTCTTACACTGCTAAATTAGGGACGGCTAGTGCAGATAGCCCTCGTGTAGCTTTGCATGAAATTTCTCTGTTGACTATACTATTTTTCTCCAATTCTTTGCTTCAAAGTCCAGTCACTGGTCACAAATGCACTAACTCTAAAACACTACATCATCTAAATGGCAAATTAATTCAAACATAAGAACAAGACAATGTGCAGTTTAATTCTGGTACTCCTTAACCCTAAGTGCACAAGGTCAGTTCACTGTACAGATCCTGTATTGGACAATAAATGTTTACCATAATTCTGAATTTTGACTGAAAAAGACAGACACTTTATTCTACCTTTAGGAAATGGATGTCACTTATAACAAGAGTATCGAATCCAGTCAGTGTTTTCATATAGTATGATATAAGTTACATAAATTAAGCCAAGAAGTCTTCACTTTAACTTAAGTCAGTTTTTGGTTGTAAGAAAGGTTGATTAATATGTTATTCTAATTATTACTGGTAAATGATATATCGTAGTTATGGAAATGAAACTAGTTCCCTAATGAATGTTAAAGCATAAACTTACTTTTCTCAGTATAGATCCTCTCTTCACAATAGTGTCGAAATGATGGCTTTATAAAATTAACATTTTTAGGGCAGTTCACATTTTGTCGAAGATGAAGCTGTAAATAATATGGACAAAACAAAACAGACTACTTTAGGCTGTCAAAATAATTATTGATTTTTTTAATATGTAACTGATTAATATTAAAATACCGTCCAATCGTATTCTACAAATAATTGTGCTATTCTTATTTATAGATGTTTGAATATTGTATGATCATAGACCTTTTTTAATACAAAATTCATAAGAACTAAACACTCAATACTGATATTTTAAAACATTTCTCTATAGATTTACTTTTACAAGTGTACTATACACAAAATAATAACTAACTATAACTGTTATAATTAATGATATTTTTATCATATCACACAAGAAAACATAATCTTAGCAAGTAATTTACAAAAAAGTTGAGTTTCTTAGGAAACAAAAGAAAGCATTAATGTTTTATTATACAAATATACATTTTGTAAATATTAAATAATATTGGCTAAACCACTTATAACCCACAAAGCTCCTGCATTACTCCTTCTTGCCACCAGATCATACTAACACTTGCAGCAAACATCTTTCTATTAAACAAACCAGAATTTCACCATAATAAACATGATTTAATTCTCATACATATTTTTCACATGACAAAAAATAAAGAAAAATAAGTAATTATCATTTTGACATTAACACCAAGCGACCAATCTGCACAAACACAGGAACTGCTTCTTTCCTTAACCAATAATATGAAAGTGTTTCTTAAATGTTAAGGAAGCATTATACAACTATTATATATATAAAACTAGCATATTTAAAGTAGGCATCCGAGCACCAGAATCTTCTAACTTGTGACAAATGTTTTGAAGATCTTCATGACTTAGTTTTATTTCAAGGCAGAACCACAACTAACTGAATTAATCTTAGAGTTTTAAATAAAATAAAATCTGAATTCTGTATATTTTTATGTTGGCATACGATATATACTGGACTTTTTAATCTACTAATTAAGTTGTGCAAAAATTTACTGAATATCATTATTCACTCAGTTTGTGAGGACATTACTTATTTGAAATTGAAAACTAAAGACACATTAAAATTATCAAATAAATAAAATTGAAACTGTTAAGAAACAAAATTTTAAGTTGTAAGAAAACAAATTTCACTAACTGTGTTAGGTTAATGACACTGCAGTTAAATATTTTATTACTGAGACTGGAAATGTTTAATGTTAAAATAACTTTGGAAACTAACTGCTGAACTGTTGACCGGTGTTTATTTTTTAAAAGAATTTTAATATATAGACTGAGATGTAGAAACATAATAGTAATAAGCGTTCGTAAAACAGTGTGATATACTAGCATACCATACATGGATGTCAAATCTATAGGCTAAATATTCAAAGTAATGAGTATGATGTGAATGTGTTCGAATGGGAGTTTAATCAAATGTACCATTTTTTGTTTCTGTTTATCTTCGGTTTTATTTTGTTGATGAGTATAACTTTCATATATTTTATCTTTAAAATCTTTGTTTTTTTAGATAAGATTGAAACTCTATATGAGTTTTGGTTGTCTATGTTTGAAGTTCTATGTTTGTGTATGAAGTATTGGACTGTTGTGATTTTGTTTTGTTCATATTTATATAATGCATCAATATGTTCCAAAATGTGTGCGTAAAGGTCTTTCAGTTCCTCCAAAATATATATATATATATATATATTGTGTGTGTGTGTGTGTGTGTGTCTATATATACATATACATACTGCATGTGGTTTAATACACTATGATTTTAGTGTAGCATTTTTGTCCTGCTCTGTTTCTCGGCCACAGCATTGTTTTCTGTTGCATTTCACGTGTACGAGGAGTAAACTATGTGATCTTTTACTGTTTTTCTGTGTTATGTTGATTGTTAGTGTCAAATGTTTATGACTTAACAATTTAGTTGGGATTGTGTTGTATATTAAATAATGATCATTGCAGGAATGTTTCTGTTTCTATATTTTTTAGGATCTGTTGTCACTGTGTATTTCTAATTAGAAAACAACATTGATGTACTTTTCAAGTAATCCAATTTTGTAGTAGTAATGTTTAAGGTCTTTCTGCGCATTAAGTGAGGAGCAGTTTCAATTCATTCTCTTTAGTTCTCCTCCTATTGTTCCTCTATTGACATGATTGACGTATAATGGAGAAACATCAACTTTTTACTTTCTTTGTCATGCAAACAATTTTGTATTTGTCCATCTTGGATTTTAGTTATGTCTAAGAAGACTAAGTTTTCTTCTGTGTTCGGTAGTTGTAATGTGAAAAGGATTTATGTGTGCAAGTTGTTTAGGAAGTTGTAAAACTACTGTAATGCCTTTTCCATCGTTACATATGTTAATATATCATCGACTACAATTCTAGAGTTAAACCTGTTGTGTTTTTTCATTTATCAAGAGCTTTTGTTTCTAATGTATGCATGAATATTACAGTAAAATGTGACTGATGTTCTGTTATCTATTGCTACTCCCTTTGTTTCTAATGTATGCATGAATATTACTGTAAAATCTGACTGCTGTTCTGTTATCTATTGCTACTCCTTTTGTTTCTAATATATGCATGAATATTACAGTAAAATGTGACTGATGTTATGTTATCTATTGCTACTCCTTTTGTTTCTACAGTTTCTCCAAATTTAAAATAGCTGTAGGACACGACAAAGTTAAGTACTATGTGAATGGTTTCTAAGGTTATGTTTTCTGGACATACATATTCATTACATGAGGATATAAAGTTATGATGAGTATTTAATGTCATAAATATGCACCAGGTAATAAGGAATAAGAGGCATTAAAAAGTTTGTGCATTATTCAACCAATTCAATATGTTTGTAGCTATGGTTGTAAAACTTCAAGATCACCTGCTGCCTAGAATCAAAATAAATCATTTCCTTAAATATAAAAAATGGTAATTATGAAGTTTTTCATGAGGAATATCTGCGAAAACTAAAAACAATATACAAATCTATTAAACTCACCTGTTGACGAAAACATGTCAGTGCTCTTTTCCACATTACGTTTTCAGGATTTTTCTTTATCTGTTTATGTCAATAACTCTTTAAGGAGGAAAACAATATTCAGCAAGATTTTTCTATTCAGTATACCTTCCTATAAAAGAGAGTGACACATTATGATAGAGAATAAATATGTACAAATATCATTTGAGAGAAAGCAAGATTCCAATTAAATATACATCAATGAATACGGTTCGAGACAAGAGCAAGCATTTCTGGGTTCCCCAAGTAATGTATTTTATCATATTTACAGCTGCTTTGATTAATAATATTGGTTATGCTATTATATTGAATGTAATTACTTTTTATTTTCACTTGTCATTTATCATTCAATTTTCATTATAGATTGTTTTACTGTTTTTCAGTGTTAACTCTGAATTTGTACTTAGGACTAACCGAAATCTCTTTACCTGGCCAAACCTCATGAGGTATTATCGGATTTACAGCCAAAAATATCAATAGCAGTGAGGATACTCAACTGATGAAACAATCCAGTCTAATTTCTATATAGATATGTAAGAAAAGTATATTTAATTAGCTATACTGACTTATTTTAGTTTTGGTTTAAGTACATAGCTTATTCTGATGGCAAATTATTATTATCTACACCAACAAAAAAGTGTAGAATAATTTTCAGACATCATTATCAATATGTAATAATTGTAAAAGTGAGAGAAGTGCTACTACAGTGATATGAAAATAGGGACAACAAGGGATCTTTTAAGGCTGTTCTAGCACACGTATGTCGTGAAAAAGTAAAAATTTAAAACCACCCTTTCTTTTTTCAGGAAATTGTATTCCTTTTAAACTTGTAAACAAAAGTACGTGCAGGCTTTCACTACTGCTGATGGCAAACTCGCTACATACACCAAAAACTCCATTAAAAAAATTAAAACTCTTAATTGGAGCATAAAATTTTTTCTCCCAAATATATAACTTTTGCCCTCTCGTCTTATTGCAGTCAGAATATAGAACAAAATTACTTGTCTTTCTCCTGTCAACACATAGTAACAGAGGAAGATTGACAAACATTACAACTTGTTGAAATATTGGTATGAATCTACTTTTATAATTCTGTTTCTTCACTTATCTGATTAAGTACGTGAACAAAATTATAACATGTAGGCCTACATTGATGGAATTGAAATTTCAACCTTTTTCTCAATGTTTCTTTTCTTTTATTTTCCAAAAACAAAATTTCCTGAAAAAATAAGGCGACAGAAGGTAATCTTAATTTAAACAAATGAGGTCAAGCCTTAAAAATATCATAAGAATATTACATTGAGCACCCATATATCTTATGAAGAAAATGTTAGTTAAAACTAACAGCATATACCACACAAACATTAAATCTGAGCTTGCCAAGAAACAATGGCAAAGCATAAAGATATTTCTCCAAGAATTTTTAAGGGGGTTAAGGATTAGATCTACACACCACTTGCTAATATTTGTTGCAAGGAAAATAATAAAATTGTCCTGATAATCACAGACCTATTAATCTTATATCAGTGGTGAGAAAGGTTTCTGAAAGTCTGATAAAAGATACTTGGCAAACTCATTTAATAAAGTTTAAAATGATGTTGAATAATCAACATAATTTCACTTGGGAAAAATTTTGCATTATTCATCTTTTTAAGCATTTATTGTTTCTGTAGATGAGGATAGAGATGTGAATTTAGTGTAACTGAATTTTAGGAAAGCATTTGATTAGAGCCATGACTTGTTAAACAAATTATCTCTATAAATGTGGGAGATAAGCCGACTCATTGAATAGAAAAATAGCTGGATGTAAGGAATCAGAAGATTGTTACAAATATTGTACAGTAAAAGTAGATTCAGGTCACAAGTAAGGTACCTTAGTTTATATCTAATTAAAAAGAAATTCTGTTAACAAACAGGTTTTCATCTAAACCTACAAAACTTAAACTTATTTCTTTTAATATTCAATTTAAAGGAATATTGTTCAAACTTCTAACAATTATGAACACTTTACTCAACTCTTTAATAATAATAATAATATTTCTACTTTCTAGCTCAAAATTCTAAGCTACTTCTTTTGACTTAAGTGAGGAGCATCACACTGACAACAAGGGGCCATTTGGTCCTTAAAGGCAGTTCATGCACATCACCCCCTCCCCATAAACAAAATGGGAAGCAAAAATTAAACCACCCTTTATTTTTCAGGAAATCTCCGATTCCCCTTTTAAGCTGCCATTAAGTGCTAGTCATATCCATTATCGTAAACAGCAAATCATTCCACGTGCTTTCAACAAGCATCGTTTTTTTACAGTTTTATCTTCCTCAGTGAATAATTACTAGTGCTAAGACTTCTGTTGATTGAAAGTCATTTAGAAACATATTTAGGCAATTGATATTTAAATTAATTTAGTTACTAATTCTCACATCTTTTCAAATTTTCTCTTGGAGCATTTTTATAGAGCTTGTGCTTATTTTTGTTATGAAGGCAATTTTGTTGATTTTATTACCTTTACTTTCAGAAAGCCTTTGATAATACAATACAACTTAGTAACTTAGGTGTTTATGGAACAGGTGGAAAAAATTTAATGAACAGAAAATTAGAATACAAAGAAATAACGTAAAATTTAAGAATACCCTTCTGGTTTAAAAATCTTTCTCAGCTGGAAATGACTCCTACTCTGCCAAAATTTATGTTTTTCCCTTATTCCGACCATTCTAAAAAATTTTAACTTCATCTATCAGATATCCTCTATCTCTTCTTTTTACAAGGGAAAATAATTTTAAATATCTTAACATATCCTAATATAATAATGTTGCTGTTACTAATACATGCTGGGTTCACAGACTTACCCAAAAACACAAGATTTTAAAGGTTTATCTAAGTTTACTCTTTGCAAAAAACAAACCTGAACTTTGCAAATCATCACGAATATTCAATTTTATTGAATAAAAAGTAATAAAAATATTTCAAAAACTTTCTTATAATATACATTTATAAAATTAAAGCATTTTAGCATAATTATATTTTTGCAGATATATATAATATGAACCAATACCTACTTTTCAGTAGTTAACAAAAAAACATATTTCAAACCTTCCAAATAGGATGATGCTGTTTAGCGAATTTTTAAAATAATATTAATAAATTTAGTTAAAGACAAAAGCTCAACTACTGCACACACAAAAATTTATAAAGGCTAACCTTGCAAGAGTAAAACTAACGTATGAGCACTTATTCAACATAATAAAACACACATATGAAGCGTCTGCGGTGACACCAAATTCTGTCCCATTCTAATTTTCAGTAATTTTTCTTAACTTTATTCATTTAACTTTTTGTTTTGAACAAAACATACTTCGAGAGTATTATTTCTCATTATGTAAACGGGTCTAACTTTATAATTAATATTTATTAAGTTTACCAAGCCTTACTCACATACGAAACAGTTTTTTTTACATTATTTATTTATTATACTTATAAGTTATAGTTATACTACAGTTATACTCAAATAATACTGTTAATGTGATAACGTACGATATAGTAATAACTAATATTAACAGCAACACAAAACGTACAACTAGATTACATTTTCATTGATTATAAATGTACTTTAACATTCGTTTATTTATTAAAATAAAATTACCAACTTGTTATTTAATTGCATATACTAGCATATCGAAAAGGAAATTCATAAAAAATAATAATGTTTTACCGTTAGTTTATAACTTATCGTACGTCCATTCGTAAAGTACTAAGTAAAACCCGAAAAACTTCGTTCCGCTAAATAGCGTTACAGCGTTCAGCACCCATACGCACTTTAATAATGTTTCGTAAATTAGGTAAAACTAAAAAGCGGAACATTAACTAAAAAAATATTATTTAGAATGAAGTTAGAAACATTATATAATACCTAGCTGACTAGTGTTTTTATTAATATTTTAAAGTATACTTCTCTGTTTTCAAACCGCTGAATAGTCAGATTTTCAAAGAGTAAGAACCAAATTTCTAAAAAACTATTAAGAAGTTTGGTTTGAATTTCGCACAAAGCTACACGAGGGCTATCTGCGCTAGCTGTCCTTAATTTATCACTGTAAGACTAGAGGGAAGGCATCTAGTCATCACCACCCACCGCCAACTTTTGGGCTACTCTTTTACTAATGAACAGTGGGATTAACCAACACATTATAACGCCCCCACGGCTGAAAGGGCAAGCATGTTTGGTGGAACGAGGATTCGAACCCGCGACCCTCAGATTGCGAGTCAAACGCCCTAACCACCTGGCCATGCCGAGCCATAATTAATTTGTTTGTTTGTTTGTTATTAAGCACAAAGCTACACAATGGGCTATCTGTGCTCTGCCCACCACAGGTATCGAAACCTGGATTCTAGCGTTGTAGATCCGCAAACATACCGCTGTGCCACTGGGGGGCACCATTATTAAAAAGTAATCCTTAGAAAAGTGGCAAGATAGAAGTCAAGAAGTCTTCAAAATATTACTCTAATTTCTTTCATTACACTACAAGATGAGACAGCTTCCATATCGCCATGAGCGTCGAGAACCAGCACGGGCCCTGGGGCAAACATCTTCGCCAGGTCCCCTTTATCTGTCTTTTTTAATATTTTTAAGAACTTATTAAAAAAGAAGATCCTAAATTAGGACAGCAACGAGTTCATAAACAAGGCAAAATCATAGCAGCAGCCGTTTTTAGCTCACAGTATGAGCGTAAAAACGTTAATAAGGTAACAAATATATATTAATTATTACTCAAATTATTATTTCAATCATTATTAATGATTAAATGATGATACATAGCCTAAAGGTTCTTTGTGAGCATTACAGCATAACAAGGTTTCATTCTCCGGGCCCATTGGCAGTTGCCTCCCTCCTACCCAGCCCCTCCCCCTGTCGGCGGGCCTGCATATAGTCTAGGGAAATTTTCACTCGAAAGGGAACAAACTGTAACAATTTATTCACCACAGTGCTTTTGTGAGGTCCCCTGAACAACATACTAACAATCCTGTGAGCTACCGGCATGGAATATATGCCTAATTTGCATAAAACCAATATCGCCGCCAAACATCTATATATTGTAATATCTTTACTTCTTGATGACATATTTTCACAACTTAAGATTCTAAAATGGGGTTTCTTGATATATAGAATATCATAGAAATCACAAAGGTTTGATCGGATGAAAGGTTCACTAGCATAATTTCAATATGGCCGCCAAATACTAATCTGTTACAACAAAATTGTTCCCATATTATAGTTTTCTTTAAATTTAAATACTTCAATGGCATTTCTGAAGACTAAGGTGTATAGGGACATGTAACACTATTCTCTAAATTCATTTTTGGGTCCTGAATACGTTTCTGTACTCGATTGATAGATGATAAAAGATTTCTCCAAATATGTAAAGTAGAAGTAATTAAAAATGCAAGCATGCGTTGCAGAATATTATGAGCACCACATTTTGTTTCAGCCGTCTTGCCATTTTCACTTAATTGCTCTAACAGTCCTAGCAATTCATCCAGTTTTTCATGTACAACTTTTACTGCCTTTTATCTTGCACTCCACCATGTTTCTGATTCACGCTTGACAGAGATCTTAATCTCCTGCTGCAGTTCGTCCCATCGAGTTGTTGAATGAGCAAAGAAATTATAAATGACTTGCAGCATGAAGACATGCTAAGTTCAAACTATGGTTATCACAGTTTATAAACACTGCTTTTGTATTTTTGTTCAGAATTCTTTGTTGAACGCTTGACAGATGACCTGACATGACAGCAGCATTATCATAACATTGCAAACAACAATCACTCAATAAAATTCCATCTGATTTTAATTTTGTGCTTATTGTTTTCTTAATATTGGCAGCGTCTTTTTACTTTATCTGAATAAAGTCAATAAATGACTCTTTGACTTCTACTTTTCTTGTCTTAAAGTCAATTTCAACAACCCGAATTACTTGGGCCAATTGCTCATGATGGGCTAAATCAGGTGTGAAATCAAACAGAATACCATAGTATTTGTTTCTACGAATTGCTGACAAACAATAATTTCGCACATATGAAGTCATGAGATTTATAAACTCATTTTGAATTTCAGGAGAAAGATAAGATGTTGAAGTTTGCTTG